AGCAAGCGATAGACTAAAGCAATTTTGGGGTCTCCAAGAGATTTTGTATGGAGTTGCCACTCAGATCAGTCCCCAACCTCTTGTAACCCACAGTCTAAAAAGAACGCTGGGCCCTGGGAGACAGAGCAAGAGGGCTTTAGGATTGTGGGGCAGAGGTCTGGAGAACCCTGTGGCTAAGAGGCCACTGTGTCCGAGAAGGATGGCAGTCCGTGCCCTCATCGGGGCCGCGGCAGGTGACATGAGCGGGGGTTTCTTGCCTCTTCTATGCTTCTGTGAGCTTGAGCTGTTGCTTAGTGCGTCCCGAAAGGGGAGCAGCAGGGTGGGGACACTTCTGGTACACGACTCAGGGAGTGTATTGGGGCCGGGGGCCCTGCTTTGCAAATTCAGGGCACAGCATTGTATATCTCGGGGCAACTAAATCACCGAGGTTGGGGGGGGCGCCAGAGACTGAGGGGAGGGAAAGACATAACCGGCAAAAAGAGCATGTGCTGTAGCTTAGGAGTGGGTAATGCCCAAAATGTTCGGGGAAACTGCGGAAGCTGTTCATATCTGGCAGAAGCACTCGCTCCGCTTCCCCTCTGAGTCCCACCCAGGCACCCTCTATCCCTTAGCCCGTTAACCCCGCCCACACCGCCGGTTGCCAAGGCAACTGGACGCCGCCGGACCTCCGGTCCAGCCTTTGAATTCCAACGCGAGAAAAGAGGAATGTTATCCCCTAGACCCGTTCCTGCTCCTCAAGTCCATCTCCGCGATCGTGCAGGCCCACCGTCACTCGCCTGGGTCAGGGTCCACCTCCACCTTCCCTCCCCGGGTCCTGACCCGGCTGACAGACTCCAAAGAGTCCCGAGGTCCCTTTAGTCCCTGGGACCCGCCCTTCAACGCTCTCCCCAGCGTCTTCCGAGATGGGCGTGGCCGCCTATCTGCAACAGGATTGGCTCCCCCGCCCATGGAGGTAGTGGCTGGACGAGCTGCCCGCTCATTGGTTCTTGTAGGTGTCAGCCGCCAGCTGGGCGAACTGACTGGAAGACTCGGGCTCCCGACGATCCAATTCCATCGCGTTCGTAGCATCCCGGTGTGCTCCGCGCGCTCCTGAAGCTTACTTCCGGGGAGGGTCGAGGTCCGCAAAGGTGCTGGGCGGCGACAGCGGCAGCTGGAGGGCGGCCCAAGGCTGAGGCCGGCGCAGGTAGGCCCGAGGCGTGCCGGCCCTGCCTAGTGTCGGCACCTGGTGCCTCTGCGGTGCAGCACTGGCGGGGTGCGGACTGTGAGGCGCAGGACTGCAGGCTGCTCTAGGGTGCTACCCGGGAAGTTGCAGGGGCAGCCCTGGACTTG